ATATTTTCTAGGCGGATTTTATCGATTTCGATTTTTGCGGCCAAATTACACAAATTCGCGATCTCCCTCGTATTATTTCACGGCTAAAACTAATAGTTTGCAGGTGTTCTTAGACGGAAGAGGTCATAATCTTCGAATAATTTATTTTTTTCGTACAAGTGCGCTGCGTCCCCTGACAAAGGGATTGAGGGACGGACGATCGCCTCGTTAACAGGAAAATTATAGTTCATTCGTCGACTAGTTTAATATTTCACGAATGCCGGTGCTTAATTGTCGCTTCCAATGCCTATAAAAGGGCGGGACAGTCACTCCGAGGCGCGGAAAGTTCAATCGAATGCACGCTGCTCGCTCGATTCAATCGTGAGCGCACGCTTCAAATTGAATATTCGCCTTTCTTCTCACGTGATCTGCATATTTGGCTACCTGCCTTACATATTCACGATACACGCGTGTGTATCGTCAGATATAAATGTATTATCGAGAGGAACGTCCACGCGCTCACGTCCGAGGGAGCAGAGACCGCGGCGGGATCAATACGGAGAGCCGCAATTTAAAGGGATGAAAAAAGTAGACTATAATCAAGACAGCCGAGCGTGATGTGTCTCTTTCGTCGGGGTGGCGGCAGAAGAAGAGCGCGTCCCGAGAAGACGCGCCGTTACTTTCGCGCGAAATAATCACCGGGCGAATTTTGAGCTCGCTTCGCGACGCTACCCACACGCGGTCTAATCTCGCGGGAGCGGGAGTATTTACGTTCTCGAATCGAGCTCGATTCGTATGCGAATTTCATTAGCGTGACGCCCTCGTAGTTTCCAGGTACGACACCGTCGCCGTATCGTGCGACCACGTCGATACCGAACTCATTCACCCCTATCCCTCACGCATTTAGACCAGGGTGTCCTTGTCACGTGTCGGTCGCAAACTCGAAGTTCTAGAGCGCCTTCGATCGGGGAGTATTCATATTTCATACCTATCGTACCCGTTCCAGAGAGTCGTGGCGAGACACGCGTCACAGCGCCTCGGAAACTCGGCCATTTATATTTCAAATCGTGACGAGCGAGCGAGCAAGCGAGCGAGCGAATAGATTATCGCTTTACGAAGAGCTCGTGTTGTCCATCGCTCTCGTTACAGGGAGAAGTCGCGCGCGACGCGAGTCAGATGCAAAAAAGTTTTGCTCGGGGGAGGGGGGAGGGAACACGTCGCTCACGTGCGTGCGTGCGTGCGCTCTTCAGCGCAGCGCGACCAACAACTTTCAGCTCTACCCGCCGTCGAGAATCCTGCGTGTGTCGCTTAATTCAGATTATGATGATTGTATCATCGCGCGATCGCGACAATTAATCGCGGAGTATTATCCTTCCTGAGCGCGCGCGCTAGATCGAGACACTTATTTGTCCCGGATTCGGCCAGACTGTCTCGGTCTAACTCCGTCTAGGAGTTTTTTAAAATGCTTTCAATAAAGAAAGCTTTTCAATAAAGTTCACAACTAAATATAGTAGTTTTGCTTCTTCTTCTTAATTTTAAGTAAGAATGACAAAAGTTTTATCTTAGCAATTAGTTATCTTAGTTTCTACTTTTGCTGTATGCAGCAAGCCTTCATTATTGTTAAATCGTTCTTCATATATCTATAAGTAAAATATTGTTTTAAATGTATATATATTTCTTCTTTTCAATGATCTTTTATCCGCCGCTTCACAGATTTATGAACTGTCTCGAATTTTTAAGACTGAGAAATCTGGTTACCTTCTCACTGCGACGTCACCGAGAACGTGTGAAACGACACTCGAAAATGACAAGTGCGGGACTATCATTTCTCGCAGATTCGATAATTACCGCGAAATCTTATGTTTGTTTCCTGAAAGGTTGCAATTATCGTACTTCTTGCTGTCGCACGAAGCGAGCCGCAATTCGAATGCGGAAGACGGTCTCCCGCGCTCGCGTGAGTACACAGGATTCTATTTAATAATGCCTTCCATTTCCGGTTAAGGTATTTTGGCTCGAGGGGAGAGCACATTCTACATAATATCTACATATTCGTATCATGATATTTGATATTAGACCAAAATCAACTACTCATCAGCCACATTAAACGCAAGATCGAGAGAAAAAATGGCTCATCTAACTAAAATTAGTTATTTTTGGCTTCAATCATATTTTTCTGTAGTATGCACATACTATGAAGCTATTATCACTAAAAGTATAATAATATATATAAAAGTATATATATAAAAGTAATAATAGTATATATATAAAGTAATAAAAGTAATATATATAAAAGTATAATAGAATTTAAGAAATAATTTTATTGATAATAATTTATAGTAATTCTTTTTCCATGTGATTATGCACGCATAATACAACGTCTAAAAACATAAAATAGACATAAAACGTCTAAAAGACGTCTTAAAAACATTTCTCAGATGTCTCTAAAATGTCTTTAAGACGTTTTATGTCCCGATTTTATGTTGTGTGAGTAGTTATAAATACTAGTAGTTTTTTTCAGTAAGCGATGACATACGATTTTTATTCCAGGTGGAATAAAAATACGATAAAGTCGAAATGACAAGAAAACGATTTGAAAACTCACTTTTCAACTATCATTTTCTTGTCATTTAGACGTTATCGTGATTTTCTATTCCACTTGGTTGATGAATTCATATATGTACCATTATCATTGCATTCAATACAAATACGTGTAGCTTCGCTTGTAAAGTTGCTTCGTCACGTTTTTTTTTTTCTTTTACATGTCACTTTGCATATTTCTTTCGTGCGTTTCGATCACACCGTGAGAATTGCACCACATGGTAGTGAAAGAAAGGAAGAGAGAGAAAAAAAGGCCAGACGCGACTTCGAACACCGGAGTCGCGTGTGAATAATTGTCCCGATTACCGCTTACCGTTGCATTATGATGTAGGAAAAGTGCTCTTAATTAACGGCGCGTCCTAATTGATCGTCGGACGCGTGTGCACATGCAACAGCGATAACGGCTCGGCACCATCGGCCTTGCTCAAAATGCAAAGATCACGAGGTCGGGCCTGCTCGCGCGCGCGAGTGCGACAGGCCGACGTTTTGCAATGCAGGTATTCAGATTGGAACTTAATAGACATTATAAACGCATGAGGCATGCGTCTTGTTGGGACTCATGTTGCATTCGGTAATTAGGTGCACCGCGATAATTAGCGGCTTCGCGATAACAGCGACGGACGGAAAATTTCTGCGCGTCTTACGACGTACTATCGGAGACCGCAGGTCGCGCGTGGCTCGCGCGTCGAACCGCGCGGGAAATACATTTCGCGGACGGTATGTGCCAAATTAAGCGGTTAAAACTGACGCGAGAGCTCTCAAATGCACTATAATTAGTTGGAATTGGCGAAACGCGCGTGCACGAGCGACGATGAAATCGAAAAAATATCTGCGAACGGCGGGACACACAATCGCGGTCTATTTCGGACCTTCTGCGCGAAAAGATCATCGGAATATTGAAACAAATATTCGGGGCTGTTATTTTTAACGTGACGAATAACAATTGGGAATATCGTCGGCCGCAAGCGGAGCGCGATGTTATTTTTAACGAGGGTCGCTTGCGACCGCCGTCGACCGCCGTCGTTATCGACGACGCATCGGCGCGTTCGCCCCGCGTCATCCAAAATATACAGATCTGTCTCGGAATTGCGCAGCCGGATAATCACCAGCTGGCCGTTGGACCGCGCGAATTTGCATTCCATCGTAATTACAGCTCGACTCCATAATCTCACTGACGTGGTTATCGCGATGAATCGTGAGGCGCGCGCGTTAACGTAAAAGAGCCAATACCTAGACATATACCTGACTCTGGACATTCTTATTGTTTTGATATTTAAATAAAGATGTTACTTAAACTTTTAACATTATATATATACTTTTTATATAGAAAGTTTAAATATTCATACTTAACTCTTACACGGAGAGAGAGAGAGAGAGAGAGAGAGAGAGAGAGAGAGAGAGAGAGAGAGAGAGAGAGAGAGAGAGAGAGAGAGAGAGAGAG